TTCATTGTGATTCTGATTCTACCCCTACAGGATAAGGTACCAGAGTAAGATAGGTTTGGAAGGACACTCACGAAAGAGATAGTGATGGTTACCTCTAGGAAGGGGATTAGGATGGGCAGGTGGGAACTTTAGTCTCATCTGCAATGTTTTCATCATTTATTACTCATTCCATATAAAATAAATAACCACTGAAACACATTCAAGTTTGAGGGCGGCTGGAGGAAGGGGGAGGGAGTACCAGCTCCATCAGGTGTGATGGTGCCCAGCTTGACAGCTAGTGGGTAGCCTGTCTCCCTGAAGTGTTCCACGGCATGGTTGTTGCCCCCGCTGCCATCGAAGTAGCGTCGGCCGCAGAGGATGGAGCCATCTGTCAGGTTGAGCCACAGGTTCTCTCTCATGTCACACTTGGAGCACTTCCAGCCACTAACCCAGGGAGAAGAAAATTAGCTGGAATGTGGTCCAGGGGTACATGGTAGAGGAGGCGGGGCTCTGCAGGTCCCCTGCTAGTCTGAGATCTGTCTCTTCTCTTCTCCTCTGGACGTCCCCATGTTTTGTTCATCTCTCCCCAAGTCTCCCTCCCTGTCCTGCTCCCTACCCTCTCTCCCACCAGATCCCCCAGAAGGGTGGCCTCTTTGCCCTTGCTCTGGGGGCTGGGTGCCGAAGTGGAGGGGCCAGGCCTCACCAGGGAGGGATTCGAGCAGGGTTGTCCAACTGCTTGAGGTTGAAGGCATGCTTAGACACCTGCCGTACTTCCCCATCCCAGGCCTGCACCTCCTGCTTGCGGGACGCTGAGTCGGCCGACAGTAGAGCCTCCACTGCACTGGTCACCTGGAGCAAGCAGAAGGTCAGAGAGGGCACCCAACCCCCAGCCCCACATGTCTGTCTCACCCTTGGTTTTCAGCCTTATCAGTGGTTGCCCAAGACATCACTACTCTGGCCCCTGTTGCCCTAGAATCTTTGGTGGGGGGGAAAGTGTTCATACCCGATCTCTGACAATGTCAGGCAGTCCCCCCAACCCATCCCGGGCAATCTCCAGGTAATCTGGCAAAATGACAATCTTCACATCCTCATCGTATTCAAACTTCTCCTCGGTAAGGTCAAACCCGCCTTCAACACCTGGTGGGATAGGGAAGAAAAGACACAGTACAGCAATCACCAAAGATCCATGTCCTTCCTCTGATATAGCACCTCACTTTGCCTCCTCCAGAGCTCTAGGGCTACTGATAAAGCCCACTCTTTGGGACTTTCCTAGTACCTCTGAAAGCAGTAAAGACCAGCTCAGAAGAAGAGAACTTCAGCAGTGCTCACCGATAGCCAGCCGGGTGGGCTTCTTACGGGGCGGGTCTCCAGTGCCTGTAGCCGCGTCCTCCTCTTTCTGCAATGAAGCAGGAAGGGCAGGATCAGCAATGAGTACCAGGGAAGGGACAAATGGGGAGGACAGAGTGGTTAACATCAGAAGAGAACCAAGTTAAAAAAATCTGTGCCAAGTTTTAATGACACAAACAAAAGGAGATGAAAGAGAGAAAATGAGACCAATAGGAGGTCAGAATGGAACAGATGGACTCAAACAGGTACCCTTGCCCCAGCCCATCCCTACCGGGCGCCGGGTCCGCCGGAGGTGCAGGTAGACTCGCTGGCCTGTCTTATTGAAATGTCTCTCCACATACTGTTTCCCGAAGCCCAGGAACGTGTTCATGCAGATGTAGAGGCCACCCTCAGACTCCTGCAGGACAGGAGGCAGCGGGGGGAACACAGGGAGGGTGAAGCCCATCCTGGAAGGGAGACTAAAGACCTGGTTTCCCCACCCAGCCTGGCCTCATCTTTCCACCAGGCTGTTCTTCTGGAAACTGCCGGTTTCTAGAAGAAAGTAACACTGTGTGACCCTTGGCAAGTTATTTAGCCTTCTAGGACCTGATACATGGCTAAGATTTTCCCCATTTCCTCCTGTGACTTTGATAACAACCAAAAAGGTCACTATTTGTCTTCCCACTTGCTCCTTCTTCTTCTTTTTTTTTTTTTTAAAGGATGACCTGTAAGGGGATCCTAACCCTTGACTTGGTGTTGTCAGCACCACACTCTCCCAAGTGCCACTTGCTTCTTCTTTGGGCTTTGGAGCCTTCCAATCAATCACAGAGGACTCCATTCACCTCTTTGCTGGGGCCGGGAGACCCAGAAAGTAAATGGGATCAAACACTGTAAACATCTCATCCCAGAGATTACATTTAGAGGGAATAAAGGTCCTTTCCTTGGGGAGGAAAGACCTTTATGTCAGACATTGAATCCAGATCAGGGACACCTAACATAAACCTTACCTCCATGATTCAGAAAAACCTTCCAGACTGGAGGAGCAGAAATTCCAGCACCTCAACAGTACAACTAACCCCTCAGCTTGCCAGCAAGTCCAGACCTTTCCATTACCACACTCTACTATACTAGGTAGCTGAACCCTAGTCCACACTATGAGTCTTCTCCTTTTTCTGCTGCTCCAGGGGTATAATGACTTGTTTGGGACTCACAGCTAAACCTGGACTCAGTCTGACAGGGACATGAAATCCAGCATTCTCCAGCCACCACCCTCCCCTTCCCCTCTTCTCTGACCAATAAGTAAGATCCTCAATGAAGTCCCATCAACCTCCAACCACAAAGCCATCCCCTTCTTAGAACAATCTAGCAACACTTGCTGGGATAGCTAGAATACATATAACCCAAGAAGAAAACAGGGAAAGACAAGTGTCCCTGGACCAGAGCTGAGAAGGGAGGATGGGCTTCCCCCAAAGCTGAGCAAGTCTGCCAGTGCCTTTGTAAACAGAATGATGGAGAAGGAAATTGGATACAACAACAGTCTTCCTCAGATCCAAGGCTTTGAGCAAGAACAGGCATCTTCTTCCTGGAATAAAAGCCTCAGTGGCCTTGAAAATTTCTCTGCTGTGATATTAAAAATAGGGCACTAAGGTGGTTCTCGGTCCCTTAGTTTGCTCTGTACCGCTCCCTAGAATAGTGTAAATCGCAATGTTCATGAACAAATAGAGCATTTCTCACCAGGGAGGTCAACTAAGCTCTCTTTTTACCATGAACCCAATTTGAAGATAATCAAATATACCAGAAATTGGTTAGCAAAGCAACTAGGCCACGCTGGAGATCTCCTGACTTGGGTGGAAAGAGGGAAAAGTGTCAGAATATTACAAAAACCCCTTTTGGAGTTACTAAAAGGAGAGACAGGAGTGCATATATGTGTAAAGAGGGGCTCACTGACCTCTACCATCTGCAGGTAATTAAGAAAAACCTTTCCCTCCTTGGAGGAATGTGGGAGCTCTGAAGTGATTACACTCCACTATTGGAAATAAAAGATGCTACTTTCACCGAGGATTGCGAACCAGAGAGCTCTGCTCTGAGCAGTACTTTTACCTCTGCCAAAGCCAGACTTCAGAGAAGCAGCACATTGTCTTAAGCCTAGCAAACCAAGCAAACCACAAAACACTGATGATCCTGAACTGGGCCTCAGACCATGCTGCTATACTCAGCACTGATGATGCATTAGTGAAGCCTTTCCACTCTGACTTGCAGTTTTCAGGACGTGAACTGGTCTGGCAGAACACCCTGGGCAGGGACTAGCAAGCGCTTGAGGGGAGGGGTGTGAGGGGGGTGGATCCCTACTAAGCTGCTGCCCTCAGTTCAGGCCTCAGAAGCTTGCCTCCACTTAAGGGTGACACAGGAAGGCACAACTTCAAGAAGGGACGTACCGGTGGAGCCTGCAAAACGTGAAGCATGGTGTAGGTGGAGGCTTTGTCTAACTAGTCAAGGGAGCGAAACGAGAAAGGGTACTCAGCATCTTCCATGAAAGAAACCATCTCTCTAGGAATACTTTAAAAGGGGTGCTCTCTGCTATCTGTGATGGGCGAGGAAAAGAGAGGGGACTATGCCCATAGTTCACTTCAAAGGAGAAACGACTAGAGCTTTCCTCCTCTTTCCTCCCCTCCCCACCACCAATGACCCACCTCCCCGCCCCTGTCCATATTAACCGTGGGTGGAGGCTCTCTAACTCGGCCTTTCTCAGAAGTGACCTTCTTCGCAGCCAACTTCCAGGCTATCGGCCGCCTAGGAACTGCAGTCCCATCCCACCCACCCCAGCCCCAACCACGGCTCAGAACAGTGGGGAGTCGCCCACTTACCTCCCACACGAGACTACAAAACCCGGAGAGCCCTGCGCGACAGACAAGGCCAACTCTCAGGCTTTCGCAGGGGTCCACTTGGGGGATGTAGTCCCAAAGTCGGACTGCGCCCCTAGCTTAGAACGGCACTGAGGGCAGTGAGCGACTACAATACCCACAACGCTCCGCGAGACAGGGAGCGGGATAGGCGAGCGCGGCGGCTTCCGGGGGCGGTAGTCACACTACAGCCCCAGCTCATGAAAAGTAACGGCAGGGAGGAGCCTGGGAGACTACGAGTCCCAGGGTGCATCGCAGGGGGCGGTTGCCCAAGCTTTGCAGGCCCCGGCAGAATGACCAGGCGATGGAAGGAAGTCGTGCTCGCTGCGGGCGCGGGGAATGGGCTTACCGGCGTGTCGAAGGAGAAGGCGCACTCGTCTTTGTGGACCCGGTCTCCAGCCTTAGGGACCCGGATCGTGGGTAATACTGACAGCAGCGCCTCCTCGCTCAGCTCCGCCATGACACCCGGCAGCAGCTCGTCCACACACAGCGGCTCCCACCGTTCCCAGTCCCCCACCCGCTGCTGTCCCCGGCCAATGAGCACTGCTCATTAGGTGCATGCGCTGAGGGGAAGACGCGCGAGAACGGCGGTTGGACGGCGCCTGCCGGCTAGTGCTCCGCCCCCTGCCCTACTCTTGACTAACACCAATGAAAAGCGCTTCTAATGCAATTGACGGTCGAAAGAACCAATCCCAGTCTCCCAGGACAGGCGAGCCTGTGGAGCAGCGAGGTGGGCTCCGGAGTTGGGGTTGCCCGGACTCTGGGACCCCTACAGTCCCTTCACGTGCCTTTATTGAAGAGCAGAAGCTGACGGTTGTTTAAACTTCTCAATCCCAGAAACCTTCCTGGGCTAGTCCAATCGGAAAGTAGAGGGGCAGTTGTCTTCTTGGTATTTGAAAAGGGGCTAACCAATGAGGCGGAGCGTGAGGGGGGGGGGGTAGTGTCGAGTGATTGATAACTCTCTCAACCAATAGAGATTACTATCTCGCATCAGGAAAACCATCATCATAACTTTGTCTCTAGCTGGATTTGTGCACGATCGCGTCATCATTCACCAATCTATTTTGTTTAATAAAAAAAATTTTTTTTTAAGTGGAAGTCTCAAAAGCGAAGACTGGCACTCCTCAAAGGCTCACGACGTACAGCTCGCCGGCCGATCCTGAACAAGTCCCATCCCAAGGAGGCGTCACCCCTGGGCAAACAAGCCAAGCTTCAGCCCATGGGCCGCACGCGCTGCGTGATAGACGTCCTCCCAGACCAATGGCTTCCTGCGCTGGAGGCGGGTCACATACAGCGGGCCTATGGGAGTCTACGTCTGCTCAGCCAATAGGGTCAGGGCAGAGGGCGTGGCGGGAGGTTTGAAACTCGTACCTTCGGAGGTTGATCCTCGAGCTGCTGTGCACGCAAAGGAATCGGGGCCCGGTAAGCGATTTGAATAAATTAATGGGTGAGTTAGAGGGCCCGGCAGGCCCAGAATAAGCCGCTCGCTCAGCCGCACTCGTCATTAACCCTTCAGAGGCCTCTGGCCCAGCGGCCAGGAGGTCCCTCGGCTGAATACTGGGAAGATCGGGTGGTCTGGTGTCAGAGGTCCGACATGGTCGCGGCAAGGGCTGAGACCTGAGTCTCTTCTCACAGGCATCACCTCCTCGCCCCGGGCCGGGCCCTGCCCCCCACCTTCCCCTCCTGGTTGACATGGGTTCGGCCAAGAGCGTCCCAGTCACCCCGGCGCGGCCTCCGCCGTACAACAAGCATCTGGCTCGAGTGGAGGACCCCCGTTCACCTAGTGCCGGCATCCTGCGCACTCCCATCCAGGTACTCTAGGCCGAACTGGAGGAGGCAGAGAAACCGTCTGAATTCTTGGGCTTCTACCTAACCTGAATCTGAGAGAGTCCTTACGCCCCTACCCCTCCCTCCCTCCTTATTTTCCACATTCTCATTCTGCGTGGGGTAGACCGAATGTCTGAGGGCCTTGGCAATTCCTGCCTGGAAATGGGGAGGAGAGAAAAGTCAGGGCCCAGACTCGTTCTAGCCTATGATCCTGACAGGTGGAGAGCTCTCCACAGCCAAGCCTACCAGCAGGGGAACAACTAGAGGGTCCTAAACAGGCCCAGGACTCAGATCCCCGCTCTCCTACCCTTGGCATTGCACAGACACCTATGAAGACCAGCAGCGGAGATCCTCCTAGCCCACTGGCGAGTAAGTGTTGGGCCCAGGAATGCTAATGAGGCTGCCACTTACTCTCAGGGCTTCTCCTTACAGGGACCTCCGTCCTCCTGCTTTGGACCCATCTCACCTTGATTTCCCTCTTTCCACTCCTTCACCCACCTAGGCGTGAGTCCTAAGGCTCCTGTACTTTACCTCCTTACGGAATCATTTCTATCAGAAAGTCATTGTTCACCTCACTTCTTTCCTCCAGATCCTCCTAGCCCACTGGCGAAACAGCTGAATGAAGTATTTGAGACTGCAGCCTCCAAATCGAATCTTACTCCTGAGCCTGTTCTGCCCCTGCGGGCACCTTCATCTTCTGAATTGGACTTGCCTCTGGGTACCCAGTTATCCGTTGAGGACCAGACAACACCTGGGAACCAGAGTGAGCTCCCCTCCAAACAGGTGTTTTCTAAGGAAGAAATAAGACAGCTCACAGAAACCCCTGTGGCCAGCCAGAGCTCAGACAAGCCCTTGAGAGACCCTGAGAGTCCCCGATCTTCAGGTACAAAATCTAGCAAGATATAGGGAAGAGAAACTGGAATAATGTTCTGGGATAATGTCCGTGGATGAGTGTGGGAGGAATAAACTGTAAGCCCCTAATTTTGGGTTCTTGCTGTAACTCCTTATCTGCTCTAGGTTCTAAGCGCAATAGATGGAAACCAAACGGCAAGGTACCAGGGAGATCCCCCCTCACCATCCTGCAGGATGACAACTCACCCGGGGCCCTGACACCAAGACAGGTAAAGGGAGAGAGGGTAAAAGCTATTACTAGGATATCCAACATAGAAGGTGGGAAGGCCTTTTACCTAGATCTTCGCTCTCCTGAAGAACAATCCCCCTCGCCACCCCCCAACTCATATACTGCCTTTTGCAGGGTAAGCGGCCTTCTCCTCTAAGTGAAAATGTTAGGGAACTAAAGGAAGGAACTGGACGACTTCTGAAAACTGGAGGACGAGCATGGGAGCAAAGCCAGGACCAGGACAAGGAAAATCAGCACTTTCCTTTGGTAGAGAACTAGACCCTGCATGGCCCTAGCACTGGACTCACCCAGGGCCTGGTGATATTCTGTGTCCTCTCACCCCTTCTTTCCCAGGAAGACTAGGAGAGATTTATTTTTCTTTCACTCCTCCTAAACTGCCAACTCTGGGACTGAGAGCTTTATTGGACTTTCTTTGTGTCTTATGTGTTTCTTGTATATTAAAGGAAGTGGTTTTAAATGATGCTTTAAAAAGTTATACCTAAACCTTGCACTGAATCTTCATATTGTAGAACGGCAGCCTGGAGAGCTGTGTCCCTGGCCTCAGTGTCCCCCACTGATACTTCTGAGCCTCTTTTGTGTACCTCCCTTAAATTGTGGTGTTCCCCAAGGCTCTTCCTTGGCCCTCTCCCCTTCCTCTCCATTGGTGTTTACTTCTAGGGCTTTGATTATCACTTACCTCTATTCTGGTAACTTCTAGGTCTCTCTCTCTAACCCTGACCTTTATCCAGCTGCCCTATAAGCACTTCAAAGTCAGTTTGTCTAAAATTGAATTTATTATCTTCTCCCAAAAGCTATTCCTCATCCTCTTATTCCCTACCCTTGTAACAGCATTATCTACCCAGCTGCCCAGACCTAAACCTTGGCCATCTTTTCAAATCCTTCCCTTTCAATATTCCATATCCTAGCACTTGGTCACTAAATCCTGGAGATTCTATGTCTTTAATCTCTTCCCAATCCCTCTCCCTTGCTGCTCTGTCCTGTCACTCTTACATTTCTTGCCACCTGCCTCCTATCTTGTTTCCCTAGTGCCAGTCTTTCCTCCCTCCATTTCCTCCATCTACACTGCTGCTAGGGTGCCCTTTATGGGAAGCGTAACTGATCATGTTACTACCCTGCTTGAAACTCTTCAGCGGTTCCCATTGCCTTTAGGATAAAGGCAATACTCTAGCCTGGCATTCAAGGCCTTTTATAATCTGACTCCTTCTTAGTATAATACTCCTGTACAAACACACGCATAGGCAGGCTGTGGTGAAGTGTTGCACACACACTGCCTCGGCCACCTGGTGAAGCCTTTTTCTCCTAACCTATCTCAGGCCTCCCCAGGTAAGGCTTTGGCTTCTGCCTTCACCCTTCTTTCTGCCCACAAGCTGTCCAGTACCTAACCGTTATCATAGCACCTGCAATACTTTATTGCCCTTAAGTGGGACCTGGATCTTTTTGGAACAGAAGTGGGGTGGAAGCCAAATATCACAGATGTACAAGGGTGCTACACTTTATTTTTTTTGTTTTCATTTTTTTGCATTTGTTTGTTTGTTTTGGTGGCTGGCCGGTATGGGGATCCAAACCCTTGACTTCAGTGTTATAACAGCACTCTAACCAACTGAACTAACTTGACAGCTCCAGGGTACTACACTTTATTGCAGGGGAAAAAAGAAGGTAGAAGGAGAAAGGTGCCAGGACCCTGGTGGTGCCAAAGCCATAATCACGGAGCCGAATGCCCTACACCCAGGTCTAGACAAAGGAGTGGCTCTGGGAGAGGAATCCTAGGGCCTGGGTCCTCAGGCTGGAAGCCTGCTGGACCAGCAAAGGGCTAGGGAGGGGTTGGTTGTCCTCGTTCATTAATGGAGAGGCTGTTAGGACTATGGGGAGGAGAGGCCATGGGAGGAGATGGGGCAGTTCTTTGCCCCTGTGTCCCTGATGCTGCCTCCCAAAGGCATATTCCCCATATTCCTCTCTGCCCTCAAGGGAGAAAACTTAGTGGGAATGGCACCTAGGATATAGAAGAGAAAACCTGAAAGCGATTGGAAAGGGGAAGGCGGCAGCTGAGTGTCTTCATGGCCTTGCAGCTCCCTCCAGCCTCCTCAGTTCCAGATTTTGAGGAAGCTGTCCCAGGAACCAGTGGCCACAGCCATCCCATCAGCTGTGATCCCCAGGCAGCTGACCCTGTTATCATGACCAGAAAGGATGCCTAAGGAAGAGGGAAAGGAGTTAGACTGTCTCCTGTGCTGATTTGGAAAGCAGTGCATGTGTGGGCGCGTGCATGCACCCAGGAATCCTAGATAGGATAGGGTAGGCTGAACTCTCAGTCCCTGGAGGAGACTGAGACTGAAAGAGGATTAGCCCTAAGGGAAGGGGATTCTCTTGACAATTTATGAAGAACTTGGATTGGAGGAAGGGCAAGGGGCAGATAGGGAAAGGTTGGAAGTGTCAGTGTGCTGTAAGAAAAACCAGTGGCACCTTGATGGGCACTGGAGAACAGGGAAGGCAACCCTGTCGTCCATTCCTTTGATTCCAGATGAAGAAACTGAGGCCAGAGAGAAGTGGCTTGTGCAAGGGCACTCAGAAAGTAAGCAACAGAATCAAGATTTGGATCCTGACTCTCTAACTAGTGTTATTTTCATTCAGCACCTGGCCTCTCCCAAGAGAAGAAGCCACACTATCTGGTTCAGTTTAGACCAGGCTGATCCTAAATAAGGCCCTAGGTGGAATCAGGGCCTTCCGGTCACTCCAGGTCTCCATGATTCTGCTCATTTCCATAGTTGCCTGAGGCTGCTCTTTCCTTCAGTGGATGCCCCCAAAACCTCAGGAACTCAGAACTGACTGGCCACTCGAGGTCCACAGGTATGGGATGACCAGAAGGAGCTCCTTGGGCAGGGAGCAGCCATAGCATTGGACAGTGGAGAAGGGCTGCTTAGGGTAACTTTTCTTTGAGGAAGATGGTCCTAGGTTGGGAACCAAGGGATACTGGATTCCAGTGGTAGAGTTATCCAGTAATTAGGGAAGAACAGAAAGAGGGTCCCAGCCAGGGGGAGCTAGTAGGAGTGTACAGAACTGGGAGGGAGGACTGGGGAGGGGCCTTCCAGCTGAGGTGGCATAGGTGGGGCTGGCTCTTACCCACACGCTCGTTCTTCATGGAGTCCCAGACATTGCAGTTGAAGTCGTCGTAGCCTGCGAAGAGCAGGCGGCCGCTGAGGGAGAAGGCCACGGACGTGATGCCGCAGATAATGCTCTCATGGGAGTAGGCAGTTAGTTCCTGATCTGCCCGCAGGTCAAACAGGCGACAGGAGGCATCGTCTGAGCCCGTGCAGATGGCCTCTCCATTGGGGAAGAACTGAGGGTACAGGCGTTAAGAAGATCGGGGCTCAGACCTGAGGCAGCCCGCCACCTCTCCTGCATGCGCCCTGGCTCCCTCCTGATGGTTCCAGGGCAAGCTGCTTCTCAGCCTCCCGCCTGTCCCTTCCCTGGCCTGGGGTGAGGAGGAGCCACAGCATGGCTATTCACTGCTGACATTTGTCACACACCAGCTGCATGCCGGTAGCTTCCCCTGCACCCCTCACGGTTCCTCATTACTGTGCTGTGGGCAGGCATCACTTCCATGTCACAGGTGGAACGCCAAGGCTTGCCCAGTGTCCCAGACTCTTAGACCCCACAAGTGGGCTGCAGCAGGGTGTGTAAGAACAGGGCCAGGCACTAATGCATAACCTGAATCCCATCATGAGAAAATGTCAGATCAACTCAAACAGTGGGAAAGTCCATCAAAAACTGGTCTGTCTGTGATCTTCAAAAATGTCAACGTCATGAAAGACAAAGAAAGGTGGGAAAACTGTTCCACCTTAAAGGAGACTAAAAAGATAAGGCAAAGAAATGCAATATATGTTTCTGGATTGGATCCTGGACAGAAAAAAAAATTGCTATTAAGGACAATTTTGAGATAGCTGGTGAAACTTGAAAAAGGACTGTGGAGTATTAAATTAAATAAGGACTGTGTCAATATTAAATTCCCTGATTTTAAGAATTGTGCTGTGGCTATGTTAGAGAAAGGCCTTGTTTTTAGGAAGTGTTTAAAGGGTAAAGAGGCATGACGTCTCCAATCTACTCCCAAAAGACCCAGAAAAAATAAACATCTAAGTGTATCTCTGTGTGTGTCAGGCTCTCTATCTCTCTACAGACAGAGAAGGACAAAGCCAGTGTGAATCTGGGTGGAGGGTATATGGGAGTCCTTTTTGTTAATCTTTTTTTTTTTTTTTTTTTTTAAAAAAGATGACCGGTAAGGGGATCTTAACCCTTGACTTGGTGTTGTCAGCACCATGCTCACCCAGTGAGCAAACCGGCCATCCCTACATGGGATCCGAACCTGTGGCCTTGGTGTTATCAGCACCACACTCTCCCGAGTGAGCCACGGGTCGGCCCCCTTTTTGTTAATCTTGAAACTTTTCTGTGAGGTGAAATTATTTCAAAGTGAAAAATTAAAAGTTAAAGAAAGGGCTAGGGGAGCGTAGGCAGGGTGAAGGGGGTATGCTGGGGGGTCCCAGGAGTCAGGACAGGGGGTGCTCACACAGATGGCATTGATGTCCGACTCGTGGCCAGTGAAAGTCTGACGGCAGGTCCCCTCCCGCACATCCCAGAGCTTGGCACTGGCATCACAGGCTCCCGAAATGAAGAGTTTGAAGTCAGGAGATACAGCCAGGCTCATGCAGTCACCTGTGTGTCCCACAAACACAGTCTTCTGTTGCCCAGTCTCAATATCCCACAAGGCGCTGCCGGGAGGAAGGAAATTGGTCACAGAGAAGGGCCATGCACCCAAGACGGATTCCTCCTAAGCCCCAGTACCCACAGCTCTCAGCCCTCACCACGTGGTGTCCCCTGAGCTCGTGACAATATTGTTGTCGTCCAGGAAGCGGCAGCAGGAGAGATAACCTGGAGGTGATTAGAAGGACAGTGCCCTGGCTGCAGAGCCATGACTGGCCAGGGGCCTGGGGTTCCCTGGGTCCCTTAGGACAGGAAGGGAGGGTCTTTGGCTCACCTGTGTGAGCAGAGAGCTCCCGGCTGACCTTGACATTGCCCTCACGGGATTTGAGGCTGTAGATGGAACACATGTTGTCCAGCCCCCCACATGCCACAAAGTTCCCTGATGGGGCATAGGCACAGGTCATGACCCAGGAGGAGCGTAGTGGGATGGCGTGCACCTGCAGGGAGGGTGGGTTTGGGCAGAGGCAGGACCTGAGCTGAGCTCCCAGGTGAGCAGGGGCCGAGAAGGGTAGGCATAGTACCCCCAAGAAAGATGCAGTGGCAGAGGGCTGGGGAGGCAGGGCTAGTACCTTGTTGGTGGTATAGGTGTCCCACACAATGAGTTTCCCGTCTTGCGAGGCACTGACCAGCAACCTGGGGAGAGGGCACCCCACATCATCCAAGCCTCTCCTTGCTGCCTCCCCACCCCCCGGGGACTTTCTCAAGCCTCACTTGGAGTCAGTGGCCCAGTGCATGGCATAGATTTTGGCCAGGTGCCCCCTTAATGTCCGCCGCGTCCGCATCTGGACTCGTCCCGCCACCTCTAGGCCAGACACCAGCTGCAGAGAAAGAGGCATTAGATATTGAGGTGAGCAGGGTACATACCCAGATGTCTGTCACCGCGACTGATCTGTACAAGTTCCTCTTCTGAACCAGGCTCTAGGGCAGGCCCCCAAGCCTTAGAGAACGAAGTCCCTGCCCTGGAGCAGCTTAGACTGATGTGGGAGACAGATACATGCATGGCCAGTGGTGTGCTGCTAAGCATTTAACAACCGCCTCTCCAGTGCCATGATATAAATACTCCCACCTTGACCAATTTCAAGCTGCCAGTGTGAGGTCACTAAACATGAACTTGAGAAGAGAAGCACAGAGTTGGCTCTCCTGAGCCAGTGGCGCCTGCTCTCACACACCACTGCAGCACGGCCAACTCTTTAACTGGCTACTCAGGACGTCACCGTCATTCTGAACTGCACCTCTCAAAATCTGTGGTCCTAGGCCCCTTGTGGTCTAGGCTGGAGCTCCGGAGTCAACAAATTTGATTTGCCATTACTTGCTTTGTTATCTTGGGCAAGTTACTTAACCTCTCTGAGCCTGTTTCCTCAAGGTGTGAAATGAGGCTTATCATAGCACCTACCTTACCTGGTTGTCATGAAAATTAAATGAAATTATGTACTTAAGCAACTTAGCCCAGTGTCTGGCTCATGGTAAGTGTTTACTTGTATTATGCACATATTTAACCCAATCTAAGATGTTGTCAACTCTAAGAAGCACCACTATTTTATGTATCACTGAGAGAAAAAATGCTGCCAATTATAACGGTAAGGCAGCATCCATTGTTCAATGCATCTTGATTTCAGAGATGTCAAAATGTAAAGAAATGTGCATCTTAGAATTGATGAAATACAGTATTAGACAACTAGCAACTGGACTCTGTAAGGGCATTATGATTTACAAACTACTTTTACTCTCTTTGTCTTCACAGCCCTGTGAGGGGCGTGTGATCGCTCTTGTTTTATGGACAAGCATCTGTGTCTTTAGCATCCAATACGGTGCCTGGCCCAGAGCAGGTCTCACTAATGTTTTTTGAATGAATTAATTAATGCCATTCCTCACTCAAGGACATGCTGTACAAACACCAGGTTGTTGTTGGTCAGGGAGCTCTCCTTTCCTCCCCTCATGCTCTGCCCTAAGGGGTTGGGAGGTCTCACCTCTGCCAGAGTAATGTCAGCACAGGCTTTCCTGGCATCCTGCAGGGAAAACAGACATCAGGGGAGGGATAGGGTGGTATGTTGTGGGGGAGCATGGGGAGCAGGGCTTGGGGGGAGTCTCAGATATGAGATCCAAGTTCAGAAAGTCTTTGGTCACTTCTAGGTCAGAGGTCTCTAAGGTGTCACTCAAGAGTGAACCCAGCCCTCTTCCCTCCAGGCTATACTCCCTCATGTCCCCAGTCCTGTTTTCTGGGGTCCCCAGAGGAGGGTTCTGGGGTTACAGCAATCTGCTTCTTGAGCTGCTCTGCTTCCTGCCGCAGCTGCTCCATCTCCCCCATGGCTGACAGGTCAAGGGGTAGCTCTGGCTCCTGCCAAGAACATGGAGTAGGTGTTGGGGAAGCCCCACCGGGCCATCTTTCCATCCTTCACACCCCACACCAGACTCCTGAGGAATTGGGGCATGACCGGGTACCTGTGCCACCTCCCCGGGTAGGCCCTCCAAGTTTGGAGTCCTGGGCATCCAGCCCCAGCCCTGCCAGAGCCCTCCCTGCAACCCCCAGCCCCAGAGAGCAGAGCCCCGGTCAGCTCCCTCTTACCTGGGCTCTGGCTGGACCTCTCCCAGGTTTCCAGCTCCGCTTCCTGGGCGCCGCCTCACTCCCTCAGCTGCGACGCCCGCCCGTCACCTGCCCCGGCTCTGCTGCCAGAGGAGCTGGCCTGGCCTGGCCCCGACTGAGGGGAGGGGGGACGGGACACGGACAGGGAAGGGTAGGGCCAAAGACGTCAGGCAAATGAAATCAGCTGGCACGGGTGCGGGGAGAGGACGGGGAGGGAGGGAGGTGCGTGGCTTCCAGAGAGACTTGGGCCCAACCTGGAGGAGAGGTGGGGAGTGTGGGGCCGTACAGAGGAGCAGCCCCCACAAGCCCTGAGAGGGAGGAGGTGCAGGGGTGCTCCCCTGGTCAGTCTGTCTGCAGGCAGAGATAAGAGCATCAGGCCCCATGGGATTAGAGCAAAGCTGTGAGGATTAAGGGTTGGGGTCTGGGAGGGGTGCAAAGGAGCAGTAGCAACCACAGCTCCAGTGGCCCCCACCCGTGGGGACGATGCCGGCAGCCAGGGCTCACTTAGTACACAGTCCAGGAGCCAGGATATAAGGGTGATGGATGGCCCCAATGTCAATACCCCAATTGTGTTCCTTAGCTCAGGGTAGTGGGGGAAGAGGGTTATGCTGAATATGGAGGGTACAAGCAGGAGCTAGATTAGAAGGGACTGATCTGGATAATCCTTCTTCTCAAAAACCCCAACCAGCTGCCCCTGGGTCTGATCCTGGGTGGGGGAGAGAGGTACAGGGGATCCAGAGGGAAGGATGGACAGGCCTGCCCATTTGGGGCAGAGAAAGGATTACAAATGGAGGGTAACCCTATCCCCTGCTGCCAGTCCGGGGTCTGGTCCTGTCCATGATCCCATGACTCTGGGGCCCTGCTGGGGCTGTGAAAGCAAGAGCCAGAGGGCTCAGGCAGCCCTAAGTCTCAGTTGAGCTCAGAGAGGGAAGACAGGGCTTAGAGTTGGAGGCCCAAGGAGCAGCTGTCAGGGGCTTGGGTCTATTTGCATGAGGGTAGCAGGTGGCTGAGATTTCCCTGACAAATCATAGACTCAAGTGGCCTCACTTCTGGGAGGCCCAAAGACACCTGTCCTCTCCCAGGCCAGCCACAGCCACCACAGAAACCGTGATACACCCAACAGGACCCTGGCTGAGTGGTCCTAACATTCTTTATTGCACAGACTGGTAGGGGAGCAGGGTTAGTGCCCCCTCTCATCCTCATTTAAAGCAGTCAGCCTCCTGCCCCTACCATCTCTTTTCAGGGAGGCACAGTGTCCTCTGTCTTAGGGCTACAGGTCCATCAACTGAGGCCAAGCTTGGCTCCCCAGGCCTGGCAAGCTCTGGGCTAGTCTGTGCAGTGTCCTCTGAGCCCAGGGCTAAGCAATCCTTGTGGATCCCCAAATGGTGGAGAGGCAGGGACAGACAGCTCGCTGTTCTGCTCCTGATGGCACATGGGGGCTTCTTGTGGGTCCTGGCATGGAGGTGACGTTTCACAAGTCAAGAGGCCACATCCACAATGAGCTGGCTCAGCTGCTCACAGCTCCTCCCGGACCCGAGGTGGCTTTCCAGCCTTGTCTTGGACCCGCTGAAGCCTGCGGCTGGGGGGTTCTGGGGAAGGGTCTCTGCTGGGCATCTCTTCATCCTCCTCGTCCTCCTCCTCCGGCTCCTGCAGCAGCTGTTTGGCTTCTGTCCACTCCTGGGGGGTGGGGAGGAGACTCCCCATCAATCCCCTGCATCCACCTTCCCTGGACCATCTTAGCACCTGCCCCCACCCACCTGTGAGACTACTCAATGGCTGCCTGCCCACCCTTTCCACCCCAGGAGAGCCACATCACTTCTTACCCCCACTCCTCCTCACCTGCTCCCTGTGCTCAGGTGCCCACGTGTGCCACAGTGCTAGGGCGCAGCGTCGTCCCCGTGTCACGGCCCATACACCATGAGGATTCTCCACACCAGAGCTGAAGGCCACGAGGCGTCCGCAGCGAGGGCGAACCTGGGCCTGGGGGGAGGGCAGGGTCAGCTGTAGGGACCGGCCATCCCTGAGAACCTGGCCTCACTCCCGAGAGCAGGATGGGGGCAGGAGGCACAGGCAGGGTCAGCTCTCTTGCCCATCAATTCCTGCTCCTTAATTCAGGAATTGGCTTGGGGCAAATGGGAAACTGGCCTCAACTTGGGGAGCAAAAATGCCAGACTGGGGCACTGGAAGGAGTTGGAAGCCAAAGGGAGAAGGGGCCTCCACCAAGGGTCTCCTGCTGGTTCCCTCCCCTTGGTGCCCTGATTTTTCCTGCTCAACCCTTTGAACCCAGGGTGTGAAGCCATCAGGATGTGAGCACGGTACCAGACTCTGGGTAGGAGGGGATAAGGATCTTGGACACATTTTTCCACCCTGAGGAAGGCCTGGATTACAGGTGGATAAGTAGAGAAGGAAGTGATTGGGTAAGAATTAAAAGTCACTGCCTCTCTCTTCCTACCCAATTCTAGCCCCTGGTGTCTACTTAGACATTTCCATGATCCAGGAATGGTAGGTAACACCACCTAACTTTTTTTTTTTTTGGTGGTTGGCCGGTACGGGCATCTGAACTCTTGACCTTGTTAAAACACCACACTCTAATCAATTGAGCTAACTGGCTAGCCCCTGCCTAACATGCATTCATTGTTTATTATTATCAGGCACCCCCCCTAACTTTTTTTTTTTTTGGTGGTTGGCCGGTACAGGCATCTGAACTCTTGACCTTGTTAAAACACCACACTCTAACCAATTGAGCTAACTGGCTAGCCCCTGCCTAACATGCATTCATTGTTTATTATTATCAGGCACTGATTCATTCTTTTAGGTATACATCATCTAAATGGCTTTTTAAAATTTTTTCCTTTTTATGGGCAGCAGGATAAATGACTTTTTATAATTATCCTTTAAAATAGGTGCTATAATTACCACCCTCACTGAGGAAACAGAAGCTCAGAAAGGTTTGTAACAACCACAACCTGAACTCAAGTCTCAGTGGCCCCAGCATCTGTGCTGCTTATCTCGCTGCAGGAGGAACAACTATTTCGAATTCCCTATAATAGGGACCTGGGGTCCTAGAGGTTCCCCTGCAGGCTGTGCTTCACCCACCCTCCTTTAGGAGATCCACTAGAGATCCACTGGGGAGACTTCTCAACCTCCACTGGAAGAGATCCTAAACACAGACAGTGGCAAGGAGGCTGGGGAGGCAGTTAAGGGAAAGGGTTAAGGTGGCCTCAGCCATTTCCCTGCATTTGCCTCTGGGAACCTTCTGTTTTGAATCCTGACCCCACAGCTGGGCCCTTTCCCAGCTTGTTGTCACACCCCACAGCCCTCACCCCACGTACCGTGACAGTGAGGGCATTGGGCTCTGTGAAGAACAGGTCCCCTCCCTGGAAGTCATCATTGAGGTAGAGGACTCCACTAGGGGGGAGAAGACAGGAGGCAGTGAGACCCAACCCAGGCCCAGACCTGCTGTGGGATGACTTTTGCCCACCTGCCTGACCTCTGCCGGGCTGCCCACCTGTAGTCTCGATAGGTGTAGGCTGGGGGCTCCCGCCAGCACTCCCCGGTGTCGGGGTCCAGGACACAGTTGTCCACATGCACTGGGTGACTCAGGTCCATGCGCTGCTCTTGCTCTCCTAGGACACAAAGGGGTCTGATGCATGCCTCTGTGCCCCCATGCCTATCTGTTGTCCCATGGTCGCATGTCACCCTCATCCACCCAGCAGCTCTGGGGTCACAGCTGGACAGAGAAGCAAGGCCCCCACCTGGGCAGGGGAGCCAAAGTCTTTCTGGAGTGAAGACTGAAACCCACACAGGTTGGGAGTGCCAAGAGTGTACAGTGCCCAACAGGGGCCGAGGTCGGGGAGGAGCAGCTGGCGTCACTGGTGGTTACCTTCTATGGCGCTACGGCACACCAGGTGGGTGAAGGAAAGGTGCAGGGGCCGTTCTGGGGAGAAGTAGGCCTGTGTCAAGGTCCGCACGCGCTCGCTCGCCTCCAGAAGCAGCTTAGCACCCTGACTGCCCACAGTCCCAGCCTGGGCCAGCTGTGGACAATGAAAGTAAGGGCAGAGAGAGAGGAACCATGGAAGGGTGGCCCCAGCCTCGGCCCAGACCCCGCCCTACCTCCACTGCTCTCCACCCATGGGTCTGGAGTCTCTCAGCACCCAGCTCCGTCCATCAACCCAAACTGCTCCTGCCATGAGCTCCATGAGAACAACCCAGGCCCCTACATCTCAGAACACCTCCTTTCTCAACCCTGGGCCCAGGGTTCAGGCTGTCCCCGTCCCAGGGCAGCTCCTCCACAGAAGCCCAGGCCCTGGAGCCCAGCCACCTGCATACCCTCTTCTCGGTTGTGGGTATCGGACTAGGTCATGGTGCCTCCTCTCACCTGCACAGCCTTGAGCACCGTGAGCCCCTCAAAGTGTTCATGGGGGGTGTGAGGGGAGCGGCGACCACGGTAGCCAGACCTGGCTCCAGCCCCAGCTGCATCCTAAATAGGAAGGGAGTTTACTGTGGAGTCACTCTCCCTGGCCCACCTCACTGCCCACCGGGCTATAGGACCCTCCCTCCAGTCCTCCCACTCCCTGGAGACTAGAAGCTCCAGTAGTTCTCTTGTGGCTCCTTTTCCTGAGCTGCCACCTTTTCTGAGAAAATGACCATTACCAGGGTTGTCTAGACCGTCATTCTCTGGTAAAGGTCTGGAATCTCACTTGCAGAGAGGACTGTGGACAGAACTGCGGAGAGCTTCCGACAGCGGGGAGGGGGCCTCCAAAAGGGAAGGACAGCTGGGGTAGTAGGGCAGAGCTGAGGACTGGACAGGAAGGGCTTGATCATTAAGCCCTGATGAGCCTCTGGGGAAACAGGACCCTAACAAGAAGTTCAGCAGCCGGGCCAGGTCCTGGCAGGAAGCTGACTCGAGGTAGGGGACAGCATCAGCTGGGGTATCACTGTCTGACCTCTGCCACACTCCATGTTCTCTCAGACAATCTACACACCATGGCTCCACCGTCTCTTGACACCGAGTCCCAATTACCCAACCATCTATGACAAATTTGTGCTGAGTACCTGCTGTGTGCCAGGCACCATTCTAGGCATTAGGGACACAAATGTGAACAAGAAAAGGTCCTTGCTCTCATGGGATTTATATTTTGAGATAACAAGTAAATAAATAGACAAATGAACCAGAAAAATTCAGATGGAGAAAGTGCTATGAAGAAAATTAAACAGGGTTACAACCTTGAGAGTGTCCAGACAGGCATCAGGGGACAGCCAGTTGAAGAGGTGACATCTACAACGGAACCCAATGATGCAAAGGAACAACATGTCTATCTGAGGGGGAAATATCCTGGGCAGAGAACACAGCAAGTGCAAAGGTCCTGAGGCCAGAGTGAGTTTAGTGTGACCAAGGAGCAAACAGAAGGTCCAATATTTGGGGGTTACCCTTGACTCCATTCTCTCTCATCTTCCATACAGACTTAGCCCTAAACTTCTCTATCTTTAAATTTCTAAATATTTCTCCTCTGTTTCCCTCTCTTCCCTTGAAATGAAGATCTAACCTAAGGCAGTGGTACTCTTTAATCCCTTCCAGAAGTTTCCCCCATCTTCTCTCCCATTGCATTCTACACACTGCCACTAGAGGGGTCCCCCCGTTCTACAGGATGGTGACTCCAGACCCCGCACTTGGAGGCTGTACAGGAACACAAAAATCAACCCCTCCTTAAATCCTTCAATAGCTGTCCACCATCTCCAAATAAAGTCCAAACTCCTTGGTAGGGTACAGAAGGTCCTTGCTGTCCTGGGTTTTCACCTCTGGGTGCTCTCCCTATACTGCCTCTTGAAGATAACAGTGACAGCCAACACCGAGCACTTTCTATGTACTTGTAAGAGCTTTACCATGTACTAACTCATTTATCCTCAGAACAACTCTATGACAAAAACACTGTTATTAGCCCCACTTTATAGATGAGAAAACTAGGCTCAGAGATGTTAAAATAAATTGCCCAAGGTCACACAAGTAACAACTTTTGGAGCCGGCCACACTCTTAACCCCTGTGCGCCCCTGCAGTTCCCAGAATGCACCTGTTCTCCCTCGTAGACTGACTTTCCTCTCCTTCTCTGCCGGGTTAACTCATCCTTGAGACTGAGCTCAAATGCCACCCGCTCTGGAAAGCCTTCTATGACTCTGCATTTCAGTGCTTCTATTTAGATGAGTACATACTTTGTTTACCAAACTTACACCTGCTCTAATTATGTGTCTCCATGTCTATCTCCTCTATGCATGAGCTCCCAAAGGGCAGAGTCTGTGGTCATCTACCCTCCCCAGAACCTAGCCATTTTGAGGATACAGCAGATACTCAGTGAGTGTGTGTTGAATGAGCATTTGCCTAGAATGAGGATTGAAGCTTCATAAAATGGTAGATTCAACCTGGTGAGTCATTCAGCCCAAACAAGAAGGGGATGCAACTGACGGGAAAGGAAGCCTGTGTGTAGAGGATTCATAAAGCAACTGTGCTTCACAGGGCCTGGTTTTCCAAAGCCTTGCAGTTTCAAATATTGACCTTGCAAAGGACAGGAAATTTTCCTCAGGCTATTGAGTGTCTGTTGCAAGATAAGAATTGTAACACAGCAAGGTTTCTGGCTCAAAGACAGACAAGTTACTGATTGATATGTAAAGATCCTGGGAAATTGTGGTAAGAAGAGAATGTTTGCTAAAATCAAGCCTTTGTTGCAAATTGCATGACAGAAGGTCACCTTGCTTGACTTACTGAATGTTACCAGCTTCTATTGTTAAACTTGTTAAACTGTACTTAACAAAACTCCACGTAGGTATCTTCCTATAACTTTTCGGTCTGGAGAATAAATGCAGGAAGAGAACCCACTTCGTGGTTAATTTCCCAAATGGAAGGATGCCTCATGCTTGAGGGTCCTGGGATATTAACCCCTTTCTGGGGCTTCTCACTGCTCAAAAGAGACGGGCTTTGAGTAATCTTTGGAGGCTCTGTCACCCAGGGGAAAAGGGGTGACAAATCCGTGAGAGGCAAAGCAACACCTGTGGGCCTGCAGGGCCCTCGGCCAAGCCAGTCACTAAACTCGGCTAACCAAGAATCCTTATCTGCATATTCACCCATTTTATGCTTTTGTGTTTTTGTTTTCTTCTTCCCATCAATTTCTAGCAAAATTCCTTTGTAAAGAATGACCACCCTATGTCAGCTAAAGTAAGAGGGAAAGGAACTTGTCCATGGCTGAGCGGTAGTGGTAAGCCTGGTTCCCACTCTCCAGTGACCAGCAGAACAGGGGAGGGGACAGACCAAGAGCAAGAGAACAAGCAGCTATGCCTGAGGTTCCCTCATTAGTGACTGTGCTCCAAGGTCCTCCTACCTTGGCCAGCTGTAGCAGAATCCCACATTCAGCTGGGGTGAGCAGCCCGTCTAGCACTGCTCGCTCCGACCCATTCAGCTGCCTGGCATCCTGAGTCAGGGTCACTCCCTCCAGGAGGAGCACATCTACAGGGGAACGGACAGGGAGAGGTGGTGAAGATCCCCTGAGGAGAGGCCCAGCAATAGCTGACAGCCCCCAGACCCTCCAGCTCCTGCCTCTTGCCCTCCCAGGAACTCACCCTTCCAGTAGGTTAAGGGTTTTGGCTGTGGAAGCTCATGGTCCCAAGGCCTCTTCTCTTGATCCTCTCTCAGGGGTGAGAGACATGCTCAGTGGATGTACAGGACAATCCAGACCCAGCCCCCCCAGAACCCCTTCCCCAATCTTCCAGCTCAGGCCAGGTCCCTCCCACCACAGGGCATCTCCTACCTGAGCTTTTCTCTAAGTGCCTCAGGGATGAGGGCCACTGGGGTCCAGGGATCCTGTGACAGTCAAGAAAAGTGCCATCACCCACCAAGTCCAGCCCCTGGAATTCCTGATGTCAGACTCTAAACTACCACACTAAGGTCCTCCTGTTTGCAGAGGGGAAGGTGAAGACAGGGAAAGCCCTGGACTCAGTGTCAGGAGACCTGGGCACTGGACCAACCTCTGTAATAATAATAATAACAACAACAACGACAACAACAACAACAAGAATTTGCATAGCACTTACTATTTGCCAGGTTCTGTTCTAAGAACTTTATACATGGAAATGAAATTTATCATTTAAGGTTCACAACAGTCTTGTGCTCATTTTGCAATTGAGAGCCCTGAGACACAGAGGCAAAGTGACGTGCTCAAGATCACACAGCTACTAAGTGACAGAGGATTTAAACTAGCTTCAGAGTCCTTGAGTTAACCAGTAGTTCTCAACCAGGGCAATTTTGCCTGCCCCCCCACCCCCACTCAGGCAACATTAGGTAATGTCTGGAAACATTGATAGTCACAAGTCATGGGTGTCAATGTGCTATTGACATCTACTGGGTAGAGGCCTAGGAAGCTGCTGAATATCATACAATGCATAGGACAGTCCCCTTTCCCTACCCCGCATCAGGTTCAAAATGTCAATAGAGCCAAGAAGGCTGAGAAAGCCTGCTTTATGCTACAGTTATAGCTGTGGACACCTCCGCCCTTCTGTCTCCTCTCATAACTATGAGAAGAGTAGTAAAAGGGGCAGCAACAGAGCTCTCTGCACTTTACATCTAATGATATATTGCCCACAGCCCTGTGAGTTAGCTGTGATTACTCCAAGCTACAGGTAAGGAAAGGGAGGCTGAGACAAGCCGAGGTCCAGAGCTTGTTTGTGACAGACATGGGACTGACACTTAGGTCTGACCTTAGGTATAGGCGCACTGCCTCTGTCCCTGTAGAACTAGGATGATAGACTCCTCTCCAAGTCTCACAAGATTTTGGAAAAATGGGAAACCCTGTGGCGAACTGATGTGACATACAAACGTAGGGCATTGCTGTTGCCTCCCTCCTGGGCATGCCAAGTGGGGGAAGAAGAGTGGAGTTACTCACGGGATCCTGGAAGTTGGTCCCCAGGTGCTCCAGGGCATAGTAGAGCTGCCTCTTCTCACCCAGGGACCGAAGGATGAAGCGCTGGATGTCCTGGTGGTGGGGGAGGGGTGCAGGAGAAGCAGGTGAGACAAGGAGGAGTGAGTGGGACAGGAAGGGAGGAGGGTGGCCTGGGTTCCAGGGGACTGTCTGTGTGCCCCTTAAGCTCTTCACTTTGCCTCTTGGTTCATCGGTTCAATGGTCTTCTGGGCTGATACTGGGGGAGGAGCGTGTCTTTGCAGCAATGTGTGAGAGTGAAAGAGAGAGAGAGTGTGTGTGTGTGTGTCTCTGTGTGTGTGCCCGAGCATAAGGTGGGGGTGGGCAGGAGTGGGGTTAAGAGAGATGGGGCTGGGGGTGGGACTCGGAAGTACAGTCTTATGTGGGGAGCAAGGGGTTGAGACAGAAGTCAGATGTTGGGCTTGGGGTTCCCTCTGGTGACTGGAGCAACTGGGTAAGAGGCTGGAATGGGAGGCGGGGTCCAGGTTACTTCTCGGGTATATTTGTTTGACTTAGTGCTACCATGTGGGGTAAGTGTGGAGGGGGTTACCTCTCTCGGCCCAAGGCCAGGTCTCAGCTCTCCCAGCTGGGCCTGGTACTGGTTCAGAGCCTTCTTGGCAGCCTCATCCTCCGGATAGAAGAGCAGAACACTCAGGACATTTTCCATAGCCTGGGACAGATTCCCCACTGGAGATGGAGTGACAGGGTGGGGTTGGGGACAGAGACTGAGAACAGCAGCATTCCTTGCACAGAGGCAGAGCAAGAGAAGGTGGTCTCCAGTGCCAGCCAACCAAACACAAGAGCCCCCATCCTCCTGCCAGACATGCAGATCCATGGCTTCTTTCCAAAGTGTACTCACACATACCTGAGCTGGCAGAGCTCAAAGAAGCGGAGGAGAGGAGGGAAGAAAGGAAGGTGAGAAGCAGCAAGGGCAGAGGAGTGCTGTGACCCATCTCCTCGGCTCTTCACAACGGCACAAAAGAAGGACAGCAAGTTAGAGTCTTGCTGAAGTGGCAGTCCCCACAGAACCCTGACAGTGAAACTACAGATCCAGAGACAGAGCGGAGGGATAGAGAGATGGGGCTCAGGATACCATCAGAGACAAATCTTTGCTCTCCCCATTTCCAACCCCAGTCACTCCCAGGGTCCACCTTTCCCCAACTGACCCAGAGCATGGGCCTCGTGCAGCCGCCTCAACTGGCTGGGAAGGAAGTCCAGGACAGGGAAGCTGCGACCAGGACGTGTGGCAGTGTCACTCACACAGCGCTGCCGGCACTGCAGGACCCGAATCCAGTGCTCTGTGGAGGATGGATTGCGCATGCTCCCCTGACACCAATTTCCGCCCCCCCCCCCCCCCCCCCCCCCCCCCCCCCGCCCCCCCCCCCCGCCGGCC